AAARMAAGTCTAKAASAAGCAAATTGTGACGAAAACGTAGATTAGAGAATAAAGAGCTAAAGTTTTAAACCAAAGGAATTCCAATTACGCAATGGTTGTCGACCCGATCATGTTGATTGATGGATAATGATGACAATCATAAAATTGACATCAAGGAAGAAGAAATGCCTTRACGATCACGAATCAAGAATGCTCAATGGTACAAAGTAATGTAGAATAGCCATGTCGTAACGTCCTCTAAAAGTATTTCGTTCTCAAATTCCATTGTAAAGTAGAGCGATGTATGTGAAAAAATCAAGTAAAAAGGTTCAAACACTTTCTTGGTACCGACACAACTGCTTAACCATATTTGACCCACTTTGAAGACGTTTACTTAGGATCTTTGTCAATTTTATATAATTTTGGTGTGTCAACTGGCGAAGGAAGACGGATAACGAATATGGACCGGTTAACTAATGAAATACGCGGTCGCATTTCCACATTATTTATTTGTGTTAAAAACTTTGTTCATGTATTCGCACTGCAGAATATGCTTTGCTTGGCCTTGGGTTCACACCAGAATAATAAGCACAAAGAGAAGAATGTTTTTGCTCGTGTGAAATGGGGTAAACATCAGTATAAAAACATGTAAAAACAAACATAAGAAAATGGAAATATTTATGTTTATCTGTGTTGAGGAAATTTCTAGCATAAAACCGCGACGCAACATAAGGAAATGATCCTTTTCATGTCAAGTGTGAATCGGCTTTTGATCTGTTTCTGAGCAGTAGTTAGAGAATGTGTCTCATTTACAACTACAGTTTTCACAGCATGGCGGAATAGGACGAACAAAATGTTGCTACGATAAAACGTCTGTGTTGATTTCATCATAGTTAACTATGATTTCATTCAGTTTTTCTTTTTGCCGCTTGCCAAGCTATCGCGGTTTTTTAAATGCTGGCCACTGGCAGGATCAAAGATGTTTTGGAATCTTTCTGGAATAACTGTGGTCAACACAAATCTAACCATGCTTTGTGACACCGCCCTGGGTTATATCAGARTCTGCAAATCTTCACTGATTGACTCGTCCAGTCAGTGAACTACGTAAAAAACAACAAGTATTTCAACCCACTCAAGTATAAAGTGTTTCAATTTTTGACCATTACGTGTAAATCTAAATGATTTGCTTAACCTGCTAAGCTTGACCTTKGGGAGGATTCCGCTTGCATTGTACGTGTGGTCTTGACCAACCTAAAATGCTCTCTGATCGATAGCCGCGGATCTTGAAACACTCAGTCCTTCCTTTAGAGCCACAATTATTTGCCCTTGAACTTCAAACTTTTTTTGTCAGTTGATAACTTGATCAAGCTTAACAAATTTTGTGTAAAGTTTCGTGTAAAATGTCAACCCGGGGACTGATGGATAATGGCGCGCGGTATCAATATGGAAGACAGTTTCGCTATTTTACTGATCACCTCGTGTGAACGTATGTTCAAGCGCATCACTTCCTTGTTCTTGTTACTTTAAGATCATAACAAAGCAGTAAAGTACTAAATGTTTAAGCTCAGGACAAACCATAAGGTGCACCAATAAGTCGTGTAAGACGACGTTTAATTCTAGAAGCTGAGCTCCACGTGTATTCAGGTCCACAAACTCTCGATTGTCGTTCGGCCTTACAGACTGAATAGCACTATTATCATTTTTGCTTGATACATCTCGCGAACTTACACGAACTTACATAGTTGATCCAAACAGGAACCTAAGGGTTAAACCGCTTGAAGACCTTGAACAAGATCTTCAACAAGATACTACTGAAACTGAGAAATTTCTTGGTCTTGAAACTCTGTATCTTCTTAAATTAATGGCCGCGCTTTTCTCTTCTGAATGTGCATTCTTTAACACGTCAAATAAAATCAGCTTGAAAAATTCAGAAATATTACAAAATTGTATTTTCATTAAAATACACTGTATCAAAAGATACCGAGATRGTCGGACATCGACCGGAAATTCCCGTGTGTGCTTTTACGTGTGTTTTTAGAGTGATATCAGGTGGAAGCTGAACTTTATTTCGCTGTATTAACCAGTATTCATTAAAAAGTTCGACTTTAGTGTACAGAATAATAGAAAAATCTTGCAACAGATTTATGTGATTAGCCGTGGATCGACACTGTATCGGAAATGGATGTCGTTCTCAGACTCAAAAAGTTTCAAACGAAAGTCACAAGATCCAACTTTTTACATTATCATGAAATACTGTACATGCTGTACTACACGGAGAATAAACTTTATAGAATAAGTATGCACTACGTAAGTGTAAAATGCCTGAAACGTTTATGACGTAAGAATGCAGAAGAATGCACGGTATTCATTATCAAGAAATCCGAATTTCTTTTTTAGAGTCATTTTGTCAATAAACGGTTTATAGTAAAGTCGACTTGGAAGGAATTCAGTGTAACAATGGAATGAAAGGACCAAAGAATAGAAATAATGTAACAATAATTTCTCTTGATGTCTTATCGTGTTTAATTAGTGTTAATGTCAAATGACATTTAGGCTTTGTACACGCAAACTTAAACACTTCACTGAAATTGTCTTYTGTCTGTACTATCACAAAAATATGGTTATCAAAAGATAGTGCTTGATTTTGAAACAAAGGAAAAGTTGCACATATGAAAATARAAGCTTTATTCTATGAAACACGTATGACATGAATAGTATAGTAACATCCGATGTACATACATGTACTGATTAATTATACATGTCCTTCTCCGGCTGAGCAGCTTTTTTAGGATTTTGTATTCATATCTTAACTCTTCATACAATGACACAAAATTCTAGAACAGGAAAGCCAAATTGCATTTTGTATTTTYACCCGCCCACGCCGCCTCTACAGTTTTCTATACGTTTGACGACTTTAGTAAGACCAGAATTTTTTGGTGTACTGTAGTCTCATATTCATCACACGCCCCTTTCATTACAGGTCATTTCTTTAACCGTTTAATCAAGGAGGCCAACACAGTATCCAACATTGATATGTAATGTATAGTAAACACACAGTACTACGTGATGTCATAAGCAAAGACATGAAAAGGAGGGGGGAAGATGAAAATTGAAATTTTGAAAATAAATAGACACACCTCTCTGCTGCCATCATAGTAGCTGCTGATACTAGACAAGGAAGAGGCTGATATGCCATTAGGATGGGATATCCCAATGTAACGCCACTATACCATARATCTGYTTTGCCTTGCTGGAACTGCTCTTTGATGTACAGTGCTTCAATGATGTGCGAATACATGTCTCCGCCATCTGCAAAACCAGTCTCGCTGGTTAGATAGTTGCTTGAAAACAGGACAATTGAAAGTKGTACCGATGCGCTTACACTAACCACGATCAAAACGCTTAGCCACGATGGTATATCATTATTTTGTTTTGACGTTAGCATTTGGTCAGTCGATGTACTCACTGTACTAGTAGTACGCGATGCCATGACTGACAACATACAAAATGTACCACTTGAATCCAACTAGGAGCGGATATTCAATCAGGAATTGTGGTCAATGTAAATCGGGTTGATCAGAGTTCAAAAGAAACAAACGAAACCGCGGATAGGACTACTTGTGACCTCCAATGATGACATGATCTTCACCGTGCATGGCAATTATCCAAGATTAAATGTAAACAAATAGTTTAGCTTTTAATATTCAATCGACGTAATTCTGCAGTACCACTGTCAATCATACTGAGTGTTTGTCAATCATAAGTTAAAGATGGCTAAAATGCAAGCACTGCATGAGTGAAACAGTAAAAAAAATATATTGTAGATATACAAGATATACACTGTAGATTAGAAATTAGAAAACAAAGGTATCTGTTCGTTAATATTATCACCAAGAGGTGTTTAGACAGAGAGTACATTCTTTATACAGACGTAATTAATTGGGAGGATGGGGTGGATTTTTTGTCAAGAACCAAGGTGAAGGGTACGCTATTTATTTATTTTTAACAGTTTTATTTTTTATTCATTTTTATTTATTTGTTGTTGTTTCTTTTTTTTTTTTTCAATTTTAGGGGAGAGGGGGTCATTTGTAAACAAGTTTTTCATGGATTTAGTGTTTGCACTCTTGTAATTGTACATATAGGTCAGACATGTAGAGTTTGTAGATTATGTTCAAAACGAGATTACACGATTAGCTTGAACAATGACAGTTAGCACATTTTTTCCCCATTGGAGGGGAATTTCGTGTATAAACATGGATTTCCCACTGAAATCGCCAAAGGACCACAAATTATGGTCCAGACGTTTTTATTTCATTACAAAATTTGTTTTCAAAACGTAGCAAGAGTGGATACTAAGTCTGTTTATTGTCACCAAAAATAGAATCATTG